ACTCACACATACACACATGCTCACACGCACGCACGTACACACACACACACACACACACACACACACACACACACACACACACACACACGACACTCATCTCTCACCATAAACTCAGTTTCCCCAATCATGTCACCAGATCCAAGCAGGTAGCATATGGATCTTTATTGTGAATGCATGAATGTCTAAAGAGGTAAAGCAACCCCCAAATTCACACAGTGCCCCTCAAATGGGGTCCCCACTCTTCAGGACCAGTCCAGCCAATAAAAGAGAAAGCTGTGGGCACTGTCTCCACACAGGACCACACCCCAGAGACAGCCCTGCTGCTATTACTCTGTCACTCTGTCCCTGTCTCTGTGGTGTGCAAGTGCTCTCCCTCTCTCCCTCCCCCTTCCTGAGAGAGAGAGAGAGAGCGAGAGAGAGAGAGAGAGAGACAGAGACAGAGACAGAGAGAGACAGAGACAGAGACAGAGACAGAGAGAGGATGCTCATGCTGACCAAGTCCTGACTGAGAGGCCCCGGGAGGAAGCAGGACCCCCTTTCCTCACTGCTAGTGGAGGCATGCACCCTCGTGGGCCATGAGCTGCCATCTCCATAGTGACAGTGGCACAGGCAGAGGGGCTAAAAATAGAACCTCTACCTGACGAGAGCCCTGTCCGTCCAGTTCCAGCTGCGTGGGACTCTGAAAGGCTTGGGGACCAAGATCTCAACAAGAGAGGCCCGGGGCCATTAGAAGAGTGGCTGACAGCACACGCTGCTCATCCAGGAAAGCAGCCCAGCTAGGGCCTGAGCTAATGGGCTCGGTGTGGGTGGCCCCGGGAGGCCTGCAGTCCCCAGCACACTCCCCTTCCCAGCAGGCCAGCTGACGAGCTCCTCTCAGCCTTGACAAGGAACACTCTCTCCCCACCCGACACAGCTCACACGGTGCTCAGATCAGATCCCACCAAGGAAGCCCAGCAGGCTACTTAGTAACTCCAGATCTGTCCAGCCCCAAAATGGGTGCATGAGGTGGTAAGCTGTCCAGAGCAGGAGGTCAGGGCCAAGCTCAGCGCCAGGTGGCCAGCATCTGAGATCAGCAGGCACTGAACCCGAGGACACTGCCTGTTCCTTGGCCTCCGCATTCTCTTCTCTACAATGGGCTGACTTCAAATGGCAGCCGTGTGGTAAAGTGAGGACGTAGCATAGAGCAAACGCCACAAAAAGCACATGGTACCGTGCTCGGCGGGACTGAAAGTGGGTCTGTTGTGATAGTGGGCTAGCCTGGA